AAAAAAAAAAAAAAAAAAAAGAATTTCTAAGCACATCTGTGAGCATTTCCTTATAATATTTTCTTTGAAATGTACTCTTTTATTTTTTTTCCCTTACTTCCAGGTCCTATGTAAGGACTGTCTATGGCAGGGGTCCCCAACCTTTCTGACACCAGAGATCGGTTTCATGGAAGACAGTTTTTCCATGGAAGTGGGAGGTGGTGGAGGTGGTGGTTTGGGGACAAAACTGTTCCACCTCAGATCCTCAGGCATTAGTTAGATTCTCATAAGGAGTGTGCAGCCTTGATCCCTTGCATGCACGGTTCACAGTCGGGACCAAGCTCCTGTAAGAATCTATGCCACAGCTGATCTGACAGAAGGTGGAGCTCAGGTGGTAATGCTCACTTGCCTGCCACTCACCTTCTGCTGTGTGGCCAGGTTCCTAACACCATAGACTTAGTACCAGTCCGTGGCTTAGGGGTTAGAGACCCCTCTGATCTATGACATGAAACCATCCTTCAGTCTTTCACCCTGGAGTCTCATATTTTAATTATTAAATGTCTATCAGTACAAAGTTTAAGTATACACCATAAAAATATTTTTCCTTTTTGTTTATGAATCAGTTATGTGTATGTTTTAGTCTTTTTGTGCTGCTTTAACAGAATACCCCAGACTGAGTAGTTTATAAACAATAGAAATTGACTTCTCATGGTTTTAGAGCCTGGGAGTCCAAGATCAAGGGGAAGGCATCTGGCAAGGGCCTTCCTGCTGTGTCCCTTTATGGTGGAGGGGCAAAGAGAAGAGAGGGAGGCAAAAGGAGACTTGAACTCAATTTTTAAAATAAGGAACCCTCTCCGCTGATGATGAGGTTAATCCATTCATGAGGGCAGAGCCATCAAGGCCTAAGTGTCTCCTAAAGGTCTCACCTTTCAGTACTGTTAGAACAGTGATTAAGTTCAATACATGCTATTTTGGGGGGACATAATCAAACCATATCAGTTTATGTCTATCAGTCTTTAATATAAAGATATCTTTTTTCTGAACCCATTTTTTGTGAGCCTTAATGAATCATCCTTAGTATCCCATTTGAGAGACAATCACTTTAGCCTAATGTTTTAATTACTTACCTAGCACTTAAGCTATTAAAGATATTAGTATATACTTGACTCTGTGCTGTCAAATGTTAAATGCTGATTTTTAAAAATTCATATAATTCTGTAACTTTTAACAAAATTAACTCTACTGAAGCAAAGCTCTCATGTTTGTCTCTTACTGTCTAATAATTCTAAGCACATAACCATCCCCTTTATTGTATAATAGTTCCAACAACATAACTTTCCTATTATTACTTAAGTGAGGTCGCATTCCCAATCCTTGTCACAACTCCTGAATCTTGTTCCATTTCTTCCATTAGCAGGCTAATTTTACCCCACGTACAGTGACAGAAAAGGCCTGATCTATGGTTTAGTCTAAATATATTTTCCATTTCAGGTGACATTTAGTGATGTGGCTTTAGACTTCTCTCACGAAGAATGGGGATGGCTAGATTCTGCTCAGAGGGACTTATACAAGGATGTGATGGTCCAGAATTATGAGAACCTGGTCTCTCTAGGTAAGGATATCACCCCTTCCACTCCAATAGGGGACACCTTTCTTTTGCCACTCTGAATTACTGGGGATCCTCCTAAGTAAATGGCTGAATTTCTGTACCATGTTCCCAAGGAAATGTGTAGCTCTGTTGTGCCCTGCCTGAAGCTTATCTTTCCATGTCAGTGAACACCTTTCATCTCTTCCTCTGGTCTCTTCTGTCATGGCTTCTCATAATAGAGGACCGCAGCTTAAGCAATTCTATATTCTTCCTGTAAGCAGGTCTTTCCATTACTAAGCCACATGTGATCACATTATTGGAGGATGGAAAAGAGCCCTGGATGGTGGAGGAAAAACTGTCCAAAGGTGTGACTCCAGGTGAGTCATGGTGAACAAGACAAGGGAAGTTTTTGTTAAAGATGCTTATAGTGAGTGTGGAGGCATTTTAGGGATACTGTCTTCAAAGATCTCAGATATAAATGAAAATTGAGGGGTATTTAGCTTAGCTTTTCTAAACAGTTGTTCCTGCCTCCCAAATTATCTGTACCACTCATGTCATCTAATCAAGGTTAGAGGTTTTTGCCATCATAATAATTCAAATTGTTACTCTATTCAGACAAAGTAAGGCAACTTACTCCTTCTTAAATCTACTTAAGATAAAACATTCTAATAGTTTCAAGCTAAGAAAAGCTGTCACTTAGGTGGAAAATCACTTTTCTAAAGCTGAACTTTGTAGATGAAATATAAACATATTAGAAGAAGTAAGGAACATATAAAATGTTTCTAGGAATAATATTTTCTTTTTTTCTTTTCTTTGAGATGGAGTCTCATTCTGTCACCCAGGCTGCAGTGCAATGGCATGATCCTGGCTCACTGCAACATCCGCCTCCCGGGTTCAAGCAATTCTCCTGCCTCAGCCTCCTGAGTAGCTGGGATTATAGGTGTGCATCACCATGCTTGGCTACTTTTTTGTATTTTTAGTAGAGACAGGGTTTTACCATGTTGGTCTTGCTGGTCTCGAACACCTGACCTCATGATCTACCCGCCTTCCAAAGTGCTGGGATTAGAGGCGTGAGCCACTGTGCCCAGCCAGGAATAATATTTTCTCATATCCAATAAATTATGTGATTTACACAGTTTCTTCATAACCTCAGAAAACCCAAATCTTTGTCAGCTATAAAGAGCATTTAGATTACTTTGTTTTTACTGTAATTGTTTAATGTAGTAATATCAATTCTGTATTTTAAGCATGATAATCTGGCAGCAAATTGAGATGAAGGGAAGGCTGGAGAAAAAGGATATGGGACAAAATGCAATCTTTCACACATGAATATAGGTATGGTAGTTCAGTCAGGGTGGTGGCAAAATATTAAGGGAACAGTATTAGAGATAGTTATAGGAAATAGTCACAAGATCCCCTTGAAAGGCCAGAGGGTTTACAAAGTTTCAAATAAGGGGATGGGCCGAAGGCTGTTGATTCTTACCCCAGGGCATTAGAACATAGAATAAATACTAGAAATTATAAAGAGGTTTCCCCAGATAAATCTGTTTACCCCCACTTTCATTAGCAAACCTTTGATCATCCATGCATGCATAACTGTCTTTTTGGGGGTGGTGGTCAGCAGAAGTTAATTACTCTCTAATGGTGTTTATCTAAAGACCCTTGTCCTTTGATCTATACAAAATAAAAGCCTGCAAGGCCAGTGAGTTGGAAAGGCAGTCATTAACCCCTTTGGGTGAACGGCCCACACACCGCAGCTCGTTCTTTCACTGAAAATCTATGTCTGAGTGAATTTATTCATCCATATAGGCACAAAATGATGGCTTGAAATCCAGAATGCCTCCACATTTTATTTCTGATTGTCTCCTTTTTTTGCATATTATTTTATCCATTTCCTATATTTTACACATTTCTGTTATCACACTCTGTTCCTGCTTCTGTGAACTTTGTATTCTCAGCACCATTTGAGCATTGTTCAGAAGTCACTGAAATATTTGAGTTGTCAGAGCTTTGTGTTTTCTGGTGGCTTCATTTCCTATCCAGTTCTCCTAATTGCACTGTAGAAGTTTCTTTTCAAGAAGTAAAAGAAAAAAAAAGCAGTTTTTTGCTTTCTTGATATATTTCAGATTGGGAATCAAGATGGACAAACAAGGAATTATCATCAAAGAAGGATCTTTATGATGAAGATTCGTCCCAAACAGTAATAATACAAAAAGCTGTAAAACAAGGTTATGAATTTTCAAATTCTATGAAGAATTTGGAATATATAGAATGCAACCCATTTAGAAGCACCTATTCTTCAAAGGTTACTGTTTCTGAACCACAAAAAAATTCTGCTGAAGGGAATTCACACAAATATATATTAAAGAAGAATTTACCAAAAAAGTCAGTTGTAAAAAATGAGAAAATCAGTGGTGGAAAGAAACTTTTGAATTCTAATGAAAGTGGGGCAGCCTTCAACCAGAGCAAATCTCTTACCCTTTCCCAGACTTGTGATAGAGAGAAAATCTATACATGCAGCGAATGTGGGAAAGCCTTTGGCAAACAGTCAGTCCTCAATCGCCACTGGAGAATTCATACAGGAGAGAAGCCCTATGAATGTCGTGAATGTGGGAAGACTTTTAGCCATGGCTCATCCCTTACACGACATCAGATAAGCCATAGTGGAGAGAAACCCTACAAATGTATTGAATGTGGGAAGGCCTTTAGCCATGGCTCATCCCTTACTAACCATCAGAGCACTCACACTGGAGAGAAACCATATGAATGTATGAACTGTGGAAAGTCTTTTAGTCGTGTTTCCCTTCTCGTTCAACATCTAAGAATTCACACCCAAGAAAAACGCTATGAGTGTCGTATATGTGGAAAAGCTTTCATTCATAGTTCATCTCTCATTCACCATCAGAAGAGCCATACTGGAGAGAAGCCTTATGAATGCAGTGAATGTGGGAAAGCTTTCTGCTGTAGCTCACACCTTACTCAACATCAAAGAATTCACACTATAAAGAAAAAATATGAATGCAACAAATGTCTGAAAGTCTTTAGTAGCCTCTCATTTCTTGTTCAGCATCAGAGTATTCATACTGAGGAAAAACCCTTTGAATGTCAGAAATGCAGGAAATCCTTTAACCAGCTTGACTCACTGAATATGCATTTGAGAAATCACATTAGATTGAAACCTTATGAATGCAGTATATGTGGGAAAGCCTTCAGTCGTAGGTCATCCCTGCTTCAACATCACAGAATTCATACTGGAGAGAAACCTTATGAATGTGTTAAATGTAGGAAGACCTTCAATTGTAGTTCAAACCTTACTGTCCATCAGAGAATTCATACTGGAGAAAAGCCATATAAATGTAGTGAGTGTGGGAAAGCTTTTAGCAAAGTCTCAAATTGTACTGCCCATCAAAGAATACATGATGGAGAGAAACCCAGTACTGTGGTAAGTGTGGAAAAATCTTTAGACCATGTGAATCACTATACATGTGAGAAATCTTACAGAAGAGAAACTACATGAAGCAGAATTTGTCATCGTAGATTTCATTCATAGATCCTCCCTTATTTAACATCAGGAAAATTTATACTGGGGAAAAACTGTATGAATGTAGTGAATATGGGAAGTCTTTTAGCAATGATGCAGACCCTTTTGTTTATCAGAGTTTATACTGTAGGAGAATCATATGAAGACCATAAATGTGGGAAAGTGTTTGTCAGTATTAATCCCTTAATTGACATAAGTATACTCACACTAGGAAAAAACCATGTACATATAGCAAATACAGAAAAGACTGTAGGCAATAGGAATCTCCTACAAACTCCTACAGGAGAGAAGCTGTGTGAATGTAGAAAATTTAGAAATTGAGGGAAGTCTTCAGTTTCAAGAGCATCCCTGGAAAGAAATCTCATAAGAGATGTAGGAAAGTGTTCACTAAGAGTGCTTATCTTGCTACACATCACATGAATGGTAGAACAACCTGGGTGATTTAGGAATGACATGTAAATCTCTGCAGTGATGCTATTTGTAAACAGAATTCTATAGGAGAGCAAATAAACGTAAGTGTGCATTTCTTAGAGCAGTAGTTTGCAGTTTTACTTGACTTCTACTTAGAAACTCTTTTTAGCTAGTGGGCATGTGAAGATATTTAGTCACCCAGAGGAACCAGTAAATGTTAAAAATTAAAGCTGCAGGCCGGGCGCGGTGGATCACGCATGTAATCCCAGCACTTTGGGAGCCTGAGGCGGGTGGATCACGAGGTCAAGAGATCGAGACCATCCTGGTCAACATGGTGAAACCCCGTCTCTACTAAAAATACAAAAAT